CAAAAATTGGGAGGCAAATAAGCACGAAAAGGGACTCACTATCACTTCACGACGATCTAAATAGAGTTATGAAATAGTCAAAAGATTGGCAGATGCAGTTTAATGCTGACAAATGTAAGGTTTTGAGGTTGGGGTAATGATGATAGTTTCAAATACAAGCTAGATGGTGTTGAGATTGCGAAAGGGATCTGGAAGTTATGATTAGTAAGAATTTAAAACAAAAAAAATCAATGCATAAATGTTTGTAATAAGAAATGATAAGGAGAAAGTAATGAAAGTACTTACCTATCAGTGACTACAGGGCCGTGAGGCCTAGCTGTTTAGCGGTGGAAAAGGAAGTTTTCTTGTAAACTGAGGATTCAAATAGTTGCAGGAACCGTCCATCTTGCAAGGTGCCTTGTATATACTGCCACGAGTCGCCATTGATCTCAGAGTGGCTTCCTCTCCACTAGTCACTAAGTCTTCCATATAATTGATCTCCACCAGAGAGAGAGGGGCATCCTTAAAGGGAGTTCCAGGTACCATGTACCACTATCCTTGTACAGTGGGAAATACAGTGAGAGGTATGAAAGCAGGCGGGCTGTCCGTCTTTCACATCGTGTCAGCAAGGCGGACAGCCCGCCTGCTTTCATACCTCTCACTGTATTTCCCACTTCTATACTTCCCTTCAACTATGGCTCTTCATCCTCTTTACTCCCCCCCCCCTCCAAAAAAAAAAACTATCCTTGTTTCACCACCGTCTTTTGCACCCAACACTGGCTCGCTTGAACTGCCTCAGTCACTTACTGCCCAGGTGGACACTTATAATCCACTTGAACAGGATCACCAGACATTTACCGTACAGGTAAACATTGACTAATCAACTTGAACAGGGCGAGGTTACACAAAATTGCAAGAGAGTTGCGCAGGGAGTGAGAAGCAAGGTTGATGTACTGGACACAGTGGAGACTCCCCAACACGGGAGAGGTGTGGCTGGTCAGTGTGTACTCTACAGAGTGCAACAATTACACAGCCTCCATTTAGCGTCTCTACAAGTCCCTCCTTCAAGAGTCATTAAACAAGATCTTATTGCGCCAAAGGTATAAAGTACCAGTCAGCTGGTTTTCTTGAACAGGTTTTCTAAGTTATTCGACTGTTACACTGATTCATATCTTCCGGCCGGAGCTCGGTTCGTTCTTGTACCCGCAGCGCCTCCAGCAGCTGCTGTTACGCCGGTGATGACACCTTCCAAATGTCTTAAATAATCAGGGACACCAGGATTCGTCAAGTATTTACGCAAACACTTGCGAACCCTTTATATCCTTCCTAAATCACAGCGGCATTATTTATATTTATTGAACAGTTTACGAGTTTCCAAACTTCACACCTCGTGATTATTATTGTTATAAACAATCTCTTAGTGCTGGGCACCTCATAAACTGTTTAAGAAATGTTTATTCTTGAACCTTTGCTCAGTTTTGCATGGTCAGGAAACATTCACAGTTGGAAAGGTAGTTCATCAGGTTTCTCATCTATGTATTGAAGAAAGATCCCAGCATTTATCCTTGTGAGACGTCACGTAAGACATTTCCCTATTACGATATTTCACATTGTATTGTTACTCTCTTTCCTATCCAATAGGTAGTTCATCACCCACTTAAGTAGTCTGCCAATTACTCCGGCCTTTTGTCCTTTAGTTTGGCCATGAGCCTCGCTTGTGGAACATTGTCAAGTACTTCCTGACCATCAAATAATGTGTAATCTACTTACCCGGCTATTGAAGGGAAGTTAATTTCTCTTATCATTCTACATATTATGGTTGGTAAGGAGGCTGGTCAGTAGTTGAGTGGATCTTGTCTGTTTCCTTTATTGTATATTGTTAGGGCATATTGTGACTTGTGCTTGAAGGGTGGAGCTTAAACTCTTGGGCCCCGACTTTTCTGTTCTCAGTCGCCCAATGAAATCGCTCCATATAGCTGTTTTTGTAATCATCTCAACCGATAACATTGTGGATCATAGATAAGCTTCACCTATACCACCTACTCATTCCACTTTTTCATTACTTTTACACAAGAGAAGACCTTCCTTATATCACACTGACTTGCAGATCAACATTATGATAGCGAGGTGGACCTGTCCACTGCGGGAGTAAAAAAAAAAAAAAAATCTACACGTCATCTAGAGGATCGTATTATCATTGTTTATATTACTAATTCTCCTAATAATTTTATGTCTTGATCATGTCCCCACTAATTTTACTTTCTTCAGTAATGTGAGGCAAACCCTCTTGGGTTTTTATATATTCACTCTATGGCCTCAGATGAGGACTCCTAACATGGGAAGGTATTCAAGGTCGGTCCTCACATGGTTCACAAGTTTCTGAGCCCTTTCTTCTGGAATTTTATTCGAATATTCGCTACCTAAACATCGCTGATAATTTTTTTTAATGTACCTCCAGTGTTATGATTTGTTATTAATGATCATAAATCATTTTTTTTCTTGATTTAGTGACTTTTCTAACGTTTATGTGGAAATTAATCTTAGGGTCCTTGCCCGCCGGTCCCCCCATCACGTTACATTTGTCCGGGTTAAAGTCTAGCAACCGCAAGTTTCATTAGATCATCCTGAAGTATTCCGTAGCCTCAATTCATATTCTTTTCATGAGTGTGTGTGTGTGCGTGTAGTCATTAACAAGAGCAAGAGGTGTATTAAATTGGCGGTGGCACAGAGCAGCGGGGGGTCTCCCATCCGCCCGCTCTAGTAGTGTATTTTTGGACGGCGCGGCGAGCGGCGCGGTGCTCCCGGACGACGTGTTTACGAGGCATAATGGTTCGCCCGGTGTTTACATAGTATATGTTACCCGCCACAACCGGGCAAAAACTCTGCCGGTGGGAATTATTGAGGCAGTCCTCATTTTTCACACCTGTTGTAAATTTGGTTGTGGATAAGCTGGCGCATGTGTGGAGTGCGATAGTGCAGTGGTGGGGTTGGCCCCCCTCGCTATCCAATTAAAGAAAGATATGTGTGTGTGTGTGTGTGTTTACTAGTTGTGTTTTTGCGGGGGTTGAGCTTTGCTCTTTCGGCCCGCCTCTCAACTGTCAATCAACTGTTTACTAACTACTTTTTTTTTTTCCACACCACACACACACACACACCCCAGGAAGCAGCCCGTGACAGCTGACTAACTCCCAGGTACCTATTTACTGCTAGGTAACAGGGGCACTTAGGGTGAAAGAAACTTTGCCCATTTGTTTCTGCCTCGTGCGGGAATCGAACCCGCGCCACAGAATTACGAGTCCTGCGCGCTATCCACCAGGCTACGAGGCCCCCCCACCAGGCTACGAGGCCCCCCCACCAGGCTACGAGGCCCCCCCTCGTGTGTGTGTGTGTGTGTGTGTGTGATGAAGTAGACACTTGACATGCAGTCTTGGATGTTTGAACACTGGTAGCTCGAAGATTTTGTTAATTAATATATACGGTAATTATAAACACACCACTCATCACACATTACATTTTCTTCTCCTCCACACACGCACACACACACACACACACACACACACACACACACACACACACACACACACACACTCACACACACACACACACACACACACACACACACACACACACACACACACACACACACACACACACACACACACACACACACACACACACACACACACACACACACACACACACACACACACACACACACACACACACACACACACACACACACACGCACACACACGCACACACACACACACACACACACACACACACACACACGGGGCCTCGCAGCCTGGTGGATAGCGTGCAGGACTCGTAATTCTGTGTCGCGGGTTCGATTCCCGCACGAGGCAGAAACAAATGGGCAAAGTTTCTTTCACCCTAAGTGCCCCTGTTACCTAGCAGTAAATAGGTACCTGGGAGTTAGTCAGCTGTCACGGGCTGCTTCCTGGGGTGTGTGTGTGTGTGGTGTGGGGAAAAAAAAAAAAAGTTAGTAAACAGTTGATTGACAGTTGAGAGGCGGGCCGAAAGAGCAAAGCTCAACCCCCGCAAAAACACAACTAGTAAACACACACACACACACACACACTCTCTGCTTGTCTGTCTATGACAGTTGCTAGTGTGTGTGGCACGTATTATCCATGACAGTTGTCAGTGTGTGGCACGTATTATCCATGACAGTTGTCAGTGTGTGGCACGTATTATCCATGACAGTTGTCAGTGTGTGGCACGTATTATCCATGACAGTTGTCAGTGTGTGTGGCACGTATTATCCATGACAGTTGTCAGTGTGTGTGGCACGTATTATCCATGACAGTTGTCAGTGTGTGTGGCACGTATTATCCATGACAGTTGCCCAGTGTGTGTGGCACGTATTATCCATGACAGTTGTCAGTGTGTGTGGCACGTATTATCCATGACAGTTGTCAGTGTGTGTGGCACGTATTATCCATGACAGTTGTCAGTGTGTGTGGCACGTATTATCCATGACAGTTGTCAGTGTGTGTGGCACGTATTATCCATGACAGTTGTCAGTGTGTGTGGCACGTATTATCCATGACAGTTGCCCAGTGTGTGTGGCACGTATTATCCATGACAGTTGTCAGTGTGTGTGGCACGTATTATCCATGACAGTTGTCAGTGTGTGGCACGTATTATCCATGACAGTTGTCAGTGTGTGTGGCACGTATTATCCATGACAGTTGTCAGTGTGTGTGGCACGTATTATCCATGACAGTTGTCAGTGTGTGTGGCACGTATTATCCATGACAGTTGCCCAGTGTGTGGCACGTAAAGTTGCCGGAACATTTGGGCTCAACATTCTCAACTTAAGCTCACCGCACCACAGACAATGATAATAAATCTCTTGAGGGTCAAAGTTAACCAAACTGAGAGATCGCGATGGTCGGTAATCTTGAGCGATAACACAATCCCTTGATCTTTACTGAACCCTGATAGCTAGGTTTATTCAATCCCCCCCTCCCATCCTCCCGCCCCGGAACCCTTAGCTAAGCACTCTCCTGCGTCCCCATGACCCGCGTCCCCATGACCCGCGTCCCCATGACCTGCGTCCCCATGACCTGCGTCCCCATGACCCGCGTCCCCATGACCCGCGTCCCCATGACCCGCGTCCCCATGACCTGCGTCCCCCATGACCCGCGTCCCCATGACCCGCGTCCCCATGACCTGCGTCCCCATGACCCGCGTCCCCATAACCCGCGTCCCCATGACCTGCGTCCCCATGACCTGCGTCCCCATGACCCACGTCCCCATGACCTGCGTACCCATGACCTGCGTCCCCCATGACCCGCGTCCCCCATGACCCGCGTCGTCATGACCTGCGTCCCCCATGACCCGCGTCCCCATGACCCACGTCCCCATGACCTGCGTACCCATGACCTGCGTCCCCCATGACCCGCGTCCCCCATGACCCGCGTCGTCATGACCTGCGTCCCCCATGACCCGCGTCCCCATGACCCGCGTCCCCATGACCTGCGTCCCCATGACCTGCGTCCCCATGACCCACGTCCCCATGACCTGCGTACCCATGACCTGCGTCCCCCATGACCCGCGTCCCCATGACCTGCGTCGTCATGACCTGCGTTCCCCATGACCCGCGTCCCCATGACCCGCGTCGTCATGACCTGCGTTCCCCATGACCCGCGTCCCCATGACCCGCGTCCCCATGACCCGTGTCCCCCATGACCCGCGTCCCCCATGACCCGCGTCGTCATGACCTGCGTCCCCCGTGACCCGCGTCCCCATGACCTGCGTCCCCATGACCTGCGTCCCCATGACCTGCGTCCCCATGACCCACGTCCCCATGACCTGCGTACCCATGACCTGCGTCCCCCATGACCCGCGTCCCCCATGACCCGCGTCGTCATGACCTGCGTCCCCCATGACCCGCGTCCCCATGACCCGCGTCCCCATGACCCGTGTCCCCATGACCTGCGTCCCCATGACCTGCGTCCCCATGACCCGCGTCCCCATGACCTGCGTCCCCATGACCTGCGTCCCCATGACCTGCGTCTCCATGACCTGCGTCCCCATGACCCGCGTCCCCATGACCCACGTCCCCATGACCTGCGTACCCATGACCTGCGTCCCCCATGACCCGCGTCCCCCATGACCCGCGTCGTCATGACCTGCGTCCCCCATGACCCGCGTCCCCATGACCCACGTCCCCATGACCTGCGTACCCATGACCTGCGTCCCCCATGACCCGCGTCCCCCATGACCCGCGTCGTCATGACCTGCGTCCCCCATGACCCGCGTCCCCATGACCCGCGTCCCCATGACCTGCGTCCCCATGACCTGCGTCCCCATGACCCACGTCCCCATGACCTGCGTACCCATGACCTGCGTCCCCCATGACCCGCGTCCCCATGACCTGCGTCGTCATGACCTGCGTTCCCCATGACCCGCGTCCCCATGACCCGCGTCGTCATGACCTGCGTTCCCCATGACCCGCGTCCCCATGACCCGCGTCCCCATGACCCGTGTCCCCCATGACCCGCGTCCCCCATGACCCGCGTCGTCATGACCTGCGTCCCCCATGACCCGCGTCCCCATGACCTGCGTCCCCATGACCTGCGTCCCCATGACCTGCGTCCCCATGACCCCCGTCCCCATGACCTGCGTACCCATGACCTGCGTCCCCCATGACCCGCGTCCCCCATGACCCGCGTCGTCATGACCTGCGTCCCCCATGACCCGCGTCCCCATGACCCGCGTCCCCATGACCCGGGTCCCCATGACCTGCGTCCCCATGACCTGCGTCCCCATGACCCGCGTCCCCATGACCTGCGTCCCCATGACCTGCGTCCCCATGACCTGCGTCTCCATGACCTGCGTCCCCATGACCCGCGTCCCCATGACCTGCGTCCCCATGACCCGCGTCCCCATGACCCGTGTCCCCATGACCTGCGTCCCCATGACCTGCGTCCCCATGACCCGCGTCCCCATAACCCGCGTCCCCATGACCTGCGTCCCCATGACCTGCGTCCCCATGACCTGCGTCCCCATGACCCACGTCCCCATGACCTGCGTACCCATGACCTGCGTCCCCCATGACCCGCGTCCCCCATGACCCGCGTCGTCATGACCTGCGTCCCCCATGACCCGCGTCCCCCATGACCCGCGTCGTTATGACCCGCGTCCCCATGACCCGCGTCCCCATGACCCGCGTCCCCATGACCCGCGTCCCCATGACCTGCGTCCCCATGTCCCGCGTCCCCATGACCTGCGTCCCCATGACCCGCGTCCCCATGACCCGCGTCCCCATGACCCGCGTCCCCATGACCTGCGTCCCCATGACTAACGTCCCCATGACCCGCGTCCCCATGACCTGCGTCCCCATGACCTGCGTCCCCATGACCCGCGTCCCCATGACCTGCATCCCCATGACCCCACGTCCCCATGACCTGCGTCCCCATGACCCGCGTCCCCATGACCTGCGTCCCCATGACCCCACGTCCCCATGACCCGCGTCCCCATGACCCGCGTCCCCCATGACCTGCGTCCCCATGACCCGCGTCCCCATGACCCGCGTCCCCATGACCCCACGTCCCCATGACCCGCGTCCCCATGACCCGCGTCCCCCATGACCTGCGTCCCCATGACCCGCGTCCCCATGACCCCACGTCCCCATGACCTGCGTCCCCATGACCCGCGTCCCCATGACCTGCGTCCCCATGACCTGCGTCCCCATGACCCGCGTCCCCATGACCCGCGTCCCCATGACCTGCGTACCCATGACCTGCGTACCCATGACCTGCGTCCCCATGACCTGCGTCCCCATGACCCACGTCCCCATGACCTGCGTACCCATGACCTGCGTACCCATGACCCGCGTCCCCATGACCCGCGTCCCCATGACCTGCGTCCCCATGACCCGCGTCCCCATGACCCGCGTCCCCATGACCTGCGTCCCCATGACCCGCGTCCCCATGACCTGCGTCCCCATGACCCGCGTCCCCATGACCTGCGTCCCCATGACCCGCGTCCCCATGACCTGCGTCCCCATGACCCGCGTCCCCATGACCTGCGTCCCCATGACCCGCGTCCCCATGACCCGCGTCCCCATGACCCGCGTCCCCGTAACTCACAAATTCATTCTGAAACAAAAGCTAAACGCTGGTCGGCCGCCTTATAACTTAGCGGCAGTAAAGGCGGGCCAAATAATCCTCTGAATTAATAAACCTGTCGCGGAGGAGGCACTCAAGTGCCAACTATCGCGATGAGCACAAGCATGGAGAGAGAGATTTCCCCCTTCCCCCCCCCCCATTAACTCTCTCCTTACCCCCCCTAACCATCCCCCCCCCCCTTAACCCATAACCACCCCTTCACGTCTTCGCTCCCACCGCGGAGATTAAATGCCTCGTGGTGTACCAAACTGTCCACACACTCGCCCACAATATAAATCCCATAATTACCTGTTGGCTGTGATCGTTGGGGGTGATTTACATCCGGCTGGCCCTTTACCTTCCAGCTGGGTTACGACCCTTACACCAGTCATGACAAAAGTGGCTCGCAGCGACCACCAAATCGACGTCCATTTGTGTCTGGCTTTTCGAGTGGTTGGTAATGGTATAGTGTTGAGTACATCACATGGAGTACACCTCCACAAGGAGTACACCTCCACAAGGAGTACATCACAAGGAGTACACCACAAGGAGTACACCTCCACAAGGAGTACACCTCCACAAGGAGTACACCTCCACAAGGAGTACACCACAAGGAGTACACCACAAGGAGTACACCTCCACAAGGAGTACACCACAAGTGCGATACATCAGCAAGAGAGACTTTACCGAGGCTGTTATTTGATGGGGGTTCGAATCTCGATTGTTCTCCTATTCAATGGCGGTGAAAGAGATGCCGTTACGGTGATGTTGTTGGTGGGTTGTGAAGGATGGGATTACTCCCTCATCCTGCTGCCTCTACCAGCCTGGTGCCTCCCTCACCCCACTGCCTCCCTCACTCTCCCTCACCCTCCCTCACACCGCTTCCTCCATGACGGCAATCCACCAATTCCCTCTGAATATTAATATTCGAATATTCTTGTATCTAGATTGTTCTTGATACAAGAATATCTAGATACAAGCTCTTGTGTCTGGAGTATTCTACATCTACTTCAAAAAAGGTCAACTATCAGATTAATCCCTAAAGTCAGGTAAGCCACCAACACAAACAGGGAATGATCAATTTTCTTACTCTGCAACCCAGGTAAAATATTCGAAGAAATCATCAACCACAGATTGATGAAGCACACGGGAGTGGAAGAAAAATATGACATCAATCAAGACGGATTCAGGAGCCACAGAGGAGCCCATACGGCTCTATAACAGCAATGATCTACGAACGCCTAAATTTTAGATATCTGAATTAGGATTTCCACAGAGATTTACTCTCCTATTACTGCAGCTCCATAGACAAGGGCCTCGCTCGTCATTGGCAGCCACGTGAAGGACGCAGTAAGACTGAAGAGCGGAGTGCCACAGGGAAGTGCCTCTCACCCTCGCGTGTCACCCACGCGTGTCATCGTGGATGACATGCATGGGTGACACACGTGGGTGACAGCTCACCTGTCCCCTTCCTCTATATGTTGGGATTGGGGAACCAACAGAACCAAGGCGGCAATAGGCCATAAAGGACTTTAAGAAGTAATAGAAAATAAGTACCAACGCAATTATATTCTAGATTCCACCATTGTAATAGGAAATCCAGAGACCATGATGCTTAATGACACCCTCCGAGTGCAACAGGCGAGTATATCAAAATGAATCAAGAACAAGAATCAAAATTCACTTAAACGACAGAATAAAGTAAGCCAAAACAGCCTTAGACAGACTGAGAAGACCTGGTGACCTCGGCACGAGCACACAGCTACACCTGTTCCAGGGGTGTAGGGTGCTGCTGCTGGCCGCCTCTGGAACACCCTCCAGCACCTCTGCTCACCTTCATCAACACACACGCGGGCACAAATTGGGAACGGTGCAAAACAAGGTACTAAGAAGAGCAGCAAAACACCGTCCACCGTGTGACCAAACTAACTGGGAAGCTCATCTGCTGGGACCCTTCCTGAAGACCCTGAGGATTGGGTCTTCCCCAGGGCCTCAGCCCTTACCTCAGGTCCCCCCTGCCTCCACCACCCTCATCTCCCCCTGCCTCCACCACCCTCACCCCCCCTGCCTCCACCACCCTCACCCCCCTGCCTCCACCACCCTCACTCCCCCTGCCTCCACCACCCTCACCCCCCCCTGCCTCCACCAGCCTCACCCCCCTGCCTCCACCAGCCTCCCTCATGCTTCTAATAGTGGGTCTGGTCCTCAGTATAGCATACAGACAACGCCGTTTAAGCGACCACTTCGATGTTATGAGCAAGAAATAATGGTGTTTATTAGAGAGCGTGTTCAAGCACCGCCACTTTGGCGGCGTCTCAAGAGTCGGAAATCAACTTATAAACTCAAGCCAACTGGACCCAACGACCTCGGACGGGTGGGTCGTTGTCATTGGAAAGCTTGTTCACCACCCACTGCCCATAATATAATGATGTCAGCCCTCCTACTGCCCATAATATAATGATGTCAGCCCTCCTACTGCCCATAACTTGATGATGTCAGCCCTCCCACTGCCTATAACTTGATGATGTCAGCCCTCCTACTGCCTATAACTTGATGATGTCAGCCCTCCTACTGCCCATAACTTGATGATGTCAGCCCTCCTACTGCCTATAACTTGATGATGTCAGCCCTCCTACTGCCCATAACTTGATGATGTCAGCCCTCCTACTGCCCATAACTTGATGATGTCAGCCCTCCTACTGCCCATAACTTGATGATGTCAGCCATCCTACTGCCCATAACATAATGATGTCAGCCCTCCCACTGTTTATAACATAATGATGTCAGCTTTCCTACTGCCCATAATATAATGATGTCAGTCCTCCTACTGCCCATAATATAATGATGTCAGCCCTCCTACTGCCCATAATATAATGATGTCAGCCCTCCTACTGCCCATAACATAATGATGTCAGCCCTCCTACTGCCCATAATATAATGATGTCAGCCCTCCTACTGCCCATAACATAATGATGTCAGCCCTCCTACTGCCCATAACATAATGATGTCAGCCCTCCTACTGCCCATAACATAATGATGTCAGCCCTCCTACTGCCCATAACATAATGATGTCAGCCCAAGCATAACTAGGTAAGTACCAGGTAGTGGGAGGCCCAGATGGGCCCTACACAACACCTGAGTGCGGCCTCATAATACACCAACAGTTACGAGTGCAGACTACTCAACACACGCCTCTGCATCACTAAGCATCTGATTCTCAGTATCACCCAGCTGGTCCTTATAACACTGTGTAACCCAGCATGTAGTGTGGGGGTAGAGTACCCGGCCCGAGGCGCGCAGTGTGTCACGGAGGGAATCAATGATCACAGACCTCTCAACTTTCCCGTCAAGCTTAGAGGTCGTGACGAATTGGATTGTCTGGTGTTTGTCGGTTAATGTGAGGTTTGAGGCCAAGATAAATGGCTTATGTAAATATGACAACATCCTGGAGTTATTAATATATATATATTTATTATTACTTATATACTTTTATATGATTTTTATTAAAGCAGAGTGGGTTTGTTGAGGCTTAACCTTACCTACTATCATCATAGAGCGTCGCGTTTTGACGTATACTCTTGCTAAGGCTCCCAAAATTGTCGGCCTAGAACATTTCTTTAGCGGCTCGCGAAATTGACATAGTGTTCCGTTTTCTGTTTTGGCCCCCCCTCTGGTAGGTTAGGATAAGGGGGAGACTTTAGTGGGATAAGTTTACCTGGAATTTGTGAAATTTAAGTAGGGCGGGCTGGTGGTCCTGGATCGGTGTCTTCTGCCTTGGGATCTAGAGTAGTGTGGCTTCTTTCTGTCCTTCCTTCCTTCCTTCTTCTTTCCTTCCTTCTCTCCTGCCTGCCTTGGTGGGGGTGGGAGGGGCGAGGAACCAAGGATGATAATTTCCCCCACAGTGGCGACGAAGATAAAGGAGGAACCACAGCCTCCTCGGCTCGACACTGACAAATATTTTACCAGCTATTTCTCAACGTCAAGGACCAAACACCTGGCCGGTGGTGCCCCTGGCCGGTGGTGGCCCTGGCCGGTGGTGTACCTGGCCTGTGGTGTACCTGGCCGGTGGTGTCCCTGGCCGGTGGTACCCCCTGGCCGGTGGTGCCCTGGCCGGTGGTGCCCCTGGCCGGTGGTGCCCTGGCCGGTGGTGCCCCTGGCCGGTGGTGCCCTGGCCGGTGGTGCCACTGGAGGGTGGTGCCCCTGGCCGGTGGTGCCCCCTGGCCGGTGGTGCCCTGGCCGGTGGTGCCCCTGGCCGGTGGTGCCCCTGGCCGGTGGTGCCCTGGCCGGTGGTGCCCCTGGCCGGTGGTGCCCCCTGGCCGGTGGTGTACCTGGCCTGTGGTGTACCTGGCCGGTGGTGCCCCTGGCCGGTGGTGCCCCTGGCCGGTGGTGTACCTGGCCGGTGGTGGCCCTGGCCGGTGACTCGAACCCATACTGCCAGGAGCACTCTGCAACTGGGGGTGTGAGTTTTCAGTTGCATATGGTCCTGGGGACCATTCAGGCTTGTTCGCATTTGTGTTCCTCACGTGTGCCCCAAAGAATGAGGTGATTTGATAAAATACCATGCCCAAGATTACCAACAGAGTGCCGGCGGGATGATGGGGAATTAGCCTCGGCTACCATCATCTTTTGTCCGGTCGTGATGGTCGAGTGGTTAAGTTGTCCTGTACATCAGTTGCAAAGTGCTCCTGGCAGTATGGGTTCGAATCTCTTCTGGGGTATGAGTTTTCAGTTATATATATATATATATATATATATATATATATATATATATATATATATATATATATATATATATATATATATATATATATTAAAGGCTTTCAGTTTATCTTGTTATAGGGATCTTCAGGGTCTTCGGGGTATTCCATTATACAAAATAATATCCTACTGGATATCTTGATATCTTGTTATAAGGATACTCGGGATATCCTGTCAAAGAGATTACATTATTGAGATGGCCATAACCAATATGACATCTTAGTAAGGGGATAAGGAGTGTACAAGCTGTACTTAACCACAGCCCGGTTGGTAGTATGTGGGCCTGCGGGCCGCTCCAAGCAACAGCC